ACACACACACACACACACACACACACAACAGATTTCAGTGACGTGGTAAAATGAAGAGTTTATGCTCAAATCCAGTTTAACCAAAACCCACAATTACCATCTGAAGAGGGGGAGTAGGGGGACACAAACGGGGCAACATAATTGGTCACACAGTTGCTATGGGGACACGAGATAGCAGATGAGAATGTGTCCAAAAGATGCGCCCCCTTTCTCCAACATGTCCAACTCAGCTTTGTTTCTCTTATTTTGCTTCCACGCTTGCAGAGTTCGATGTTGAGTGTCTAAAGTCAAACTCATTCACTCATAGTAGAGATATGGAGTGCAGAAGTGGGACGGGACTATAATATTCAAGGGCAAGACATAAAGCGTCATGGAAGAATTGAAGCCAATTAAGTTTCTTCTTAAGGGAGAAAGCTGCAAAAGTGAAACTATTTTACCTCTGTGTTCAGCTGCTGTAACAATTAGTGTTAACATATTTTTTTCCAGAGTGCAACATAGGCCGGAAAAAAAAAAAAAAAAAAAAACGCAGTGGCAGGGTATCACTGTCTTTCTCATCTAAAAATAGCCTCTGCCGACGTAGCCTCAACGTGCCGTGCCAAGGAACAAAGTGCAAGCAGCCAGCAGCTCGGAGGCAAGTGACAGAACAAATAGTGAACACGGAGCATCAGCTTTTCTTTTCATCGCTAATGAGCAATAACCTCAATGTAGCATCCAAACACATACATACACACACGCATACACACACAAAATGCTGAGTCTAAATTTAAGTCAAAGAAAGCGAAATCATCAAATGCAAACTGTTAGCAGCATATATTAAAAGTACTGTAATAAACATCAATTTAAATGTGGTTTAACTTCAATTTGTGGCTCACAGAGATGCAAGGAATAACAATCAATGGCCTGTCCACACGGTAGTTACGGTATTTTCCGCACTATAAGGTGCTTCGGATTATCAGGCGCACCTTCAATGAATGGCCTGTTTCAAAACTGTTTTCATATAGGGCGCCCCACATTATAAGGCGCATAGAATAGAAGCTACAATAGTGGCTGCGGTTGCGTTATGCACCCACTAGATGGAGCTACGTGAAAGGAATACAATACAGTTTTATTTCTAAAGAGCTTTCACAACCGCTGCAGCTGAGACAAAGTGCTTTACAGAATATTTAAAACACTACGTCCAAGAAATCAGAATATTGATCCATATTTAAGGCGCACCGGATTATAAGGCGCACTGTCGACTTTTGAGGAAATTGAATGCTTTCAGGTGCGCCTTATAGTGCGGAAAATACGATACATCCGCCATCCTAAATGAGATCCCATTGAAGTGTTGTATTAAACATTTCATCTTTGAAAAATGCCTAGTAGAATAGAAATGCACGACACATACATACATACATACTATGCTGCTGTGTCGTTCTATACCAGGGGTCGGGAACCTTTTTGACTAAGAGAGCCATAAAAGTAAAATATTTGGAAATGTATTTCAGTGAGAGATATATATATATATATATATATAGCTATTTTAAAAGTGATTTCAACAAAATGTCAGTATAATAAGCTATAATAAGCCTCTGAATGTATTTTTAAAAATAATTTTGTGATAATACTCACCATTAATGTGAATGGTTTTCCGTTCCTCACAATTGCTAAAAATCCAGCAAAACTATCGGAATGAAAGTCATCTTGCCGGGTCCATACGCGAAGTTACTGCTGGATAGCTGGCACACTGCTCAGTAGCTAGCTCGCTTCCTTTCGGCGATCTCTCGCACAGTGTTGTGATGCGAACGTAGCATGGGGCGTGTCAAAGTGCCGCTCTGCATTCGACCGTTTCAGCGATGGTATTTTGACGTTGCAAATCAGACACACCGCAGAACCCGTTCTCTCCACAAAGGCGAATCCTTCGGTCCATTCGTCCTGAAGTCTACCAAACTCGTCATCTTTTTTTCTTTTCGCCATCTTATTCGCTAAGGATTAGCTTTGAGCTAATGGCCGAGCGGGTTGATTCAAAAGGGGGCGTATACCTGTTTCCACAGCAACGGCAACGTTAGCCAGTATCATCCAATCAAAATGGCTCCTGGAGCCAACTGCAGTCCAAACAGGAAATAAGCAGTGAAAAATCGATCGATGGATGCATTAATAAACAAACGAGAATATTTTTTTTATCTGCGAGCCAGATGCAATCATCAAAAGAGCCATATATGGTTCGCGAGCCATAGGTTCCCGACCCCTGTTCTATACTATTAAAAACTACTTTGTACACCATAAGCCCATATTGCTGCAATTTTTGATGCAGCTATTGCATTGTATTTTATTAGATTGTGCAGTTGTACCTAATTAGGTGGGTGACTTGATCGATACATACCGCATTTCTCACATGGCTGTGCAACAGTTTAAAATTATGATTACTGAAAAAGAACAATAAGTTGTCAAACGGAGTCATCTCAGTAGAAAAGAAAAAAAAATGTGAGCAGCAGCAGCAGCCTGGATGTCACAGCAAGGATGTCAATCAGGACCCATCTTCCAGAAAGTCGAAGCCAAACATGATCCATCAAGGCTGAGACAAGCTCAGACACAAAGCATCACCAAACAAGCATGCACCGACAAACATTCACACACACATACACAAACTAATATTGCCATCTTAGAGCAATCACCGCCTGCCTTCCAAGTCACTCTCTCTTCCTACTCTCTCATTATTGCACATCAGTATCTATTATCTCTTCTTTTTTTTCATTTTTTTCCATTTGTTTTCTAGTCAGGCACTGACTGTAGAAGAGATTCCTGTCAATAGAAATGTTCCATTGATTCCCTCATTCATCTACAGTTCGACTTACCATTAAACAAAAAGAAAGGTCAGAAGGAGATTGCTGAGACTACTCAAATTGTCTTAAGAACTCTCAAATAAATTCATTAAATCTGAAACTACTGCCCTATAGTTTTCTGGTCATATAAAGGGGTGGCAAAACCATGCCTGTTTTATCCATCATCTGAACCACTTTATTTTCACAAGGGTCGAATCTAAATTCCTACTAATGTTTCTAGAGGAAAATGGTGTTTTGCTATGCCCAGTTTAAATTTAAGTGTAAAATGTTGATTTTCTAAAAATGAAAACCAGTTGGCCATTTATTAAGTTGAAATGTGTTTTGTCTTCTGTATCTTTAATCAAGCAAAAATACATACAATATATATTTTTTGAATTTCCAGTTGTAAAAACACCACAACAAATGGAGCTCCAAAAGTTAGTAAGTCAGACACTGACAGCTACGCACTCTGTGTTTTTCAGTTTGTTTTTTTTTCCCCCATCCAAAAATGCTTTGCGCTGGCTATGGGGTACTTGGCAGAAAAAAATATGTCACAAGGGGGTAGATCATTGGGAAGAGGTTGGTAACAACTGCTTTAGATGTTGTCCTTGTTCCTTTGTGAACTCCTGAATGAGTCATCGCTGAGCTCTTGGGGTAATTTCTGTCAGCTGGCCACTCGTGGGAAAAATCACCACTGCTCCTTCCTTTCTCAATTTGTGGATAAAAGCTCTCATGATGATTCGCTGGAGTCCTAGACTTTTAGGAATGGCTTTGTAAACGACACGTTTCCAGACTGATTTATTCTTATTGTTTAATTCTCATTCATCTGTTCTTGAATTTCTTTGGATCATGGCATTTTGAGATCTTTCGGCCGACTTCATTTTGTCAGACAGGTCCTATTTAGGGGAGCCCTTGTTTGAACAGGTCTGGAGGTACTCGGGCTTGGATGTGGCCAGTGAAAATTAAGTGAAATATGTGATTTGCCATAGCAAATTCCTGACTTATTATTGGTTGACATAGCACATTTTGATTCATGTAATTTATTGATATGTATATACTGATGTTAAGGCAAGACATAATATAAGGTTGGCCTTGGTGTAGAGAACAAACTTTTTGGGTGTTGGCCTTACGTTGAAAATGTTAAGAAACCCTGTGTGAACTCACCGTGTAGTTGGGGTTTCCTGCCTGGGCCCTAAGCTCTGCAAGCACCCAAATTCCATTGGTGAGTTTCATGGACTGGTAGAGCATGTCCTGACCCTCCACAGTTCGCTTGGCTATGGTGAAGATGTTGCTGCCCTGCAGTTTGCTTGAGGCCGCATCTTTGAAAACAAAGAGTCATCTGAGCCACAATATGACTGCAGGTCAGGACTTACAAATAGTCAATAATTCACTAATAAAAGGTCTTCCACAAAAGGCCTGACTTGCTGATGTGATGCACTGACTAGCCTATAAAACACGAATTTTATTTCCCCTCACAAGAAAAAGAATTATCTGCAAAGGAAAATATCCATTAAGAAGTCATTAGCATTTCTTCTCAAGCTCAGATCCTTAATTGGTTGCATAAAACCAAGTATCCAACACAAAAATTGACTGATGGTAATGAATTGTGGTTCAATACAATTTACTTCAAATGAATTTCATCTTAGTTAGGCTATATGATCTGTGGTGCCACTCGACGGTAAAGTGCTTCCTTCACACCTGCGTTAAGATGACAGTCGTTGAGCTGGAACTTGGACTCATTTTCATTCGGAATGTCTTTCCACGTGGCAAGGAACACCTGTCGCTCTGCACATAAAAAGACAAGCACTGGGTAAGTCCAAAGTCTTAGTGCTAATGAGACAAGATCATCAAATAAGATTGGCATGGGGGATACTGGGTGTGGGACCCAACAGCAACACACATCAGATCTACATGTATAAAAATCGCATACAGTCTGAACCTCCACATTACATCTAAAAGGCAATCTGCCAATAAGGCTTTTACTGACAGATGCTAGCCTTAGCTACATTAGAGGGATTTGAGGGCATTGAGTGAAGAGCTGCAGCAAAAAGCACTAACCCATCTTCCCGTCCTCTACGAAGAGCATGCTGATGGGATACTGGCAGCTGAAGTAGAAGACATCAATGTTGTTCTTAACGGCCACCTAGGAGACCGGCGGTTTTCAAGTGGGATGGAAGAAGATAGCAGGAGAAAGCAATGCAAAAATAATTAATTACTTGTCAAGTGTTGTGTGAAATATCATTCGTAGTCACACATACCTTATGTCACATTAGCACAAATTTTATTCACGAAAGGAGCAACTCTCCAGCTACATCAGGCCCATGTACACAGCCTGCCTTTCAAATAAAAATATTATAATAGTGTTCTATTTTGGAATGGATCTCCCATTCTGATTACCTCATTTAGCACTGAAGAAAAATAGCAAAAACATTATTTTTGTACGAGGCAGTGCAGTGGAGCTCTACCATTAACTACAACCTCAATAATATATAAAACATAGTAAATTAATTACTCTGTGATGGGGAGTGGCTACCACTAATTCTACAGCCTCAATAATATATAAAACGTACTGTTGAATTAATTTCTCTCCAACTGTGAGGGCCAATGAAGACAAAAACTTGTTCATTATAAATGCATGTTTGTCTGCCACTTTGGATAAGGGCTGCTGCACATCAAGCAACATGATCAAATGAGACTGAACTGAGGTTGTGCAACTAATTCTGACAAGCGGCAACTAATTTTGCTGTGATTCGAAATTCGAATTGCCGCCGAATGGCGTTGCAACATCGCAAATACAACAGGCAACCAAACGTACCATGTCGCATCACATGATCTTTCACAACAATAATGACGTTTCGGGGTATGAGGCGAGATCCAGCTGGCCACCGCCAAGCTGTACCAATACATTATATGCAGCATGGATATATTGTGTTTTACAAAAACAATGAACTATATTTAGAATTTCCTCTGTCCTCTGGCTTGAAAAGCAAAGCGTCGGAAAAATTCGCAAGTTCAGTCATGGAATGGTTATATGTGGCCAAGAGCGAGCCACTTCTTCCTTGACAATCATGCCTTGTTTGTTGGTAAATAAGAAAACTGACACAGTACATGATGTAGAACCTTAAAATGATTCCGAATAAGAACACCAGCAGTCGCAGCTTTTCCATTGCAACATGTCAGTTGGCGTGTTGCTGGGAATCACCGACTGTAATCAGTGTGCTATTGTTCAGATCAGTCACGCAATGGTAGTGTAATTGTACATTCTTGTAATGCAGTACATACAGCTCCTTTGGTGTCGACGCCGTGTGTTTAATTCATGAATAGATCCCCAATGCCCAGCCAGTGCCAGTCCTAAGCCTGGATTTAAAAAAAATGGATGGGTTCTGTCAGGTAGGGCATGTGGTGTATAAACCTAGCCAAAAAAATCATGTGAGTGACTCGCTGTGGTGACTCCTGATGGGACAAGACGATAGTCATATGAAGTGTTCTTTTCAGTCGCTTTCAGTCACATTGAATGGTGTGGAGCAGGCTTAATTCGTCCAATTCCATCACTTCAAACTTTATTTTGACCAAGTAATGCACGCCCAAACTTTCCATGGTTAAAGCCCTACCAAAAGCGCGAAACCCCGCCGATTAAATACGGCAGTCTCCACCACTCTTACACCTGTTTTGTCATTTTATGTTAACTGTTCTGTTGATGGCGGCGCGGGTACCCGCAGCGGCTCCTCTCTCGTCTGTGTTTGCACTGTGGTTGAGAGGAAAGAAATTTCATCTGTGCTGTATGTTTCACATAAAGCATATTTGACAATAAAGTTGACTTAACTTGACTTGCCAACAGCGTGCGAACTTGTAAGATTGAATGAACAAGCAATTTGAATTCTTAGTAAAAGATAAGATTACACGTCCAAAATAGCGCACACAATCGTTTACACAGTGTAGAAGCAATTTAACATCTGCTCTTTGGGATTTTAGGAAATCAGACAGAAGTTGCGACTGAAGACCACCTAAATGAGTAACAGAAGAACATTTTTAACACAGAGCCAGGGAGATAAAGTGGAAGTGCTAATGAATGATTAAAGAGGCTGCAGTTAATGAAGCAATCTGCTATCTTAGCTAAACTGATCACTTGGGGGTTTGGCACCCCGCTCAACGCAGCAGGTGACTGCCATTAATTATGAATAGCCTGCAGTCACAATGCCCCCGTTCAAAGCCGCTATATCTTTTCTCTTGAATGTGAATATTTGCCATAAAAGGTTTCAGTCAGTGTGGAGGCTACAAAAACTGCAACCACACATCAGTGGTTTAAAGAGTACTCGAAATAATGTTCTGGCACACTACGTTCCATCAGCACTAAAAAATGACAAAAGCTTCTTAAAATAAAAAAAAAAAATAAAAAATTCTCAAAGAGGGTGACGAAACAAGAGAGTGGTGCCCATCAAAGCGGAGTAGAAAGCCCGAGAAGGGCATAGAGAAACAAAGTAGCCACTGGTTGCATTGCCTGTTTTTTTAGAAGCTCTCATCTTCTTTCTATTTTAGTGTCGGACGTCTATGGATGAAGCATATGTAAAGTAATTTAAAAAACTATATAAATAAAATTGGTTAGTATTTAATTACCATTGTATATTCTAAACATCACTAATACAGATGACATGTTTATTAAATTAAACACAAAGGCCACACTTTTGTGTCACTGTAAAGGGTGGTGCTTGGAGAGATGATTCTTGATCAGAGATGGGCAACTTTTTGTAGGGGAAATTATAAACATGTTTCCTGTACTACAAAGGACCCCTACATATTTGCAGTTTAGCATCGCCGGATTCACCAATTTTTTTCTGCATTTATTTTCCCTGTTCATTTTTGAGGAGACAATCCCCATGTTTCGTGGAAAACGCATTTGGAAGGCTTCTCATCATGATTTGAAGAATTCTTTGGTTTTACTAAAGAAAAAAAAAAAAAAAAAAAGAAAAAAATGCCTCTTACATTTTCCCAATGATTTTCAATGGCCATCAGTTATTTGCAGCTTTTCACTATTCGTGGGCCGGCACACATTTTGTGCATATTTAAAATGAAACTTTTGTCATGCATCTGTTTCGGAAATGCACGGTCTTATGTGGCTCACCAAGTAGCGCTGAAGAAAAATTGTGGCCCCCAATAACATTTAGTTAAACATAACTGATCTAGATAAATTCAAAAGATACATGTAATACCCAGCAAGTCTTCCACCCTCATCCGAAGAAGTAAACGTTTTGAGTGTGTTACCTGCAGGTTGTTGAGAGGCTCCATCTTCATGACAGGGCCCACAGTGTTGAGAGGAAGGACCGCTTCTATACTCTGGTTAGGACTAACTGGAGTAAGAACCTGGAGAGGACCAGCAGGAGCCAAACCAAAACTAAAGCCGGAGAGGAGCAAAAGAGTGTTATGGACAGAAATGTATACATTCACTGGTAACACCTAACTAACAGGGTGTACCTATTTCTGTTGAACTGAATGGCAAAATCAGTCATGACACTCATTGCTTTATTTGTGAGGGTCATCTCCATTTGAACGACCCCAGCTCGACGACCAAATGTGCCTGAAATTTCCAGACCCTTAGCCTTCATAGCTGGAAGCCAAAGCTAGAAAAAGAACATTTCGATCAAAAGAAAACCGGCGGTGTTCTCAAGTCATTCAACAGCAAGTATTCTTAATACTCACCGTTTTAGGAGGTACATAGGCTCCCATCGGCATACCCACTCCACCGCCAAGATCAAACAGGTCGTCAAGACCCCCACTTACAGGGGCGGTGAAAGAAGGCGGTCCGGCAGTGGGCGGTGCACCAAAGCCAGCTGTCATCTGCAGGTCACAAAACAAAAATCAGTTGATCGATGCAAAGTCGCTCGAAGGTTGAGGTAAATTGTAACAACTTACAGCAGGACTGCCACCAAGGTCTACACCAAGCTGGAAATGAAACAAAAAGTTAGGTTATTGAGTTGTGTAACGTCAAGTGATATTGTGCAGGTCTGAGGTGGTTGGATGATGAGTGAGCAGCTGCAAGCATGGGCACTAGGGGAGCAGATAGAACATTTTACTGGGCATACAGTACACCTACGACTGAGTATACACTGCTTGCTAACGGTGGTGAACGTGATGTAGTGATGACATCAAACAAGGATAATGCTAAACTATTGAGTGTAGGAAGTGGGGTGCTACTACAATACACATAGGTAACAGGTCCCAAAAAAAAAACTCTGTCAAGACTGAAAACATTAACGAAGGCACAGATCAGGTGAACTGGAACAGTAATCTAGAGGTCACGGTGGTACATCATGGGACAAGAGTGAATTCAAGCCTCTGGCAAGTGAGGTCCCCCGGACCAACCTCAGTTGGGCTGTAATCTGGGGGCGATGGGGATTGATGGGGGGGCTGTGGTGATTGAGGAGTATCCCTTCGCAGGGGAACGGGCGGCTGATTGAAAGATGAGAAACAAGAGATGGGGCTCTGGTTCCAACTACATTTACAGTATATCTGGGTAATAGGTGATAAATGATATGCATGATTTAAAAGAAAAAAAAAAATCACAGTTGGACAAATTCATTCTAATGCTTCATAAAATGGTCTCAAAACGTTCCCTGCCCTCAGTGTTGTTACCGGCTCAGACTCATCCCCCATCTGTAGGTGCAGCATTGAACAAGGGAGGAAAAACATATTGTGACCATAATTTTAAAACGGCATAGTAGTATAAGAAAAAAAGAAAGACAGCACAGGAGGCAGAATTAAAAGGAATTGTTGAAAGGCTTTACCAGGCTGTCCAGTCCTCCACCTAGAAGGTCCATAGCACCCATCTGCATGGCAGAGGAGGGTGGTGGTGGTCCAGTTGTGGTTGTAGGTGTCAGATCCAGATTGAGCAGATCTCCAAGAAGGTCCTGGGATGGGATGACGGCAGGGGGTGCCTCAGAAGCAACAGGAGCAGAACCTGTGTCTGGACTCTCCACGCTTTCCCCGCTAGCAGAAAGAGTGAGAAAAGTCAAATGTCAGCCCTGTCTGGAAGAAGACTTTGCTTTCCAGGCTGGGGTCAATTAATACAGTATTCTTTCAAAACTGTAGGAGCCAAATATGTTAATTCATATTTGGATAAAATGGGATTCGTGTTCATGCTGATGAATAGGGGCTATTAGATGATTTACATATTAAAATGTCGATAGTTCATGTTTACAATAAATAATTAGTTCCCAGGATTCACTACACATGCAGTGAATATGTGGATAATCTCAAAAGTTTTCAAATTTCATTGTGTTCATATTTGGAGGGCAATGGGGTCAAGCAAGCATCGAGTGGACCCACAGCTTGTTTGTTTTTCTTTCTCCCTTTATTCCCCCATTCTATATTTTTGTCATCCTGAAAAAAACGTTCTTAACATTGCTCTAATGTTGAAGTAAACAACGATAGAGAACCAAGAGAACAGTCCGGATTTCTTTGTTTTTCTCTGATGAAGTTGTGGATGACAAGCTAGGATTTTATTCATTAGGAATTTACAGGAACCATCACCATGATTCATCATTTTCATTCAAAGAATTTGAAGTACTCAGAGGAATGCAAATGCACTTCAGATGTGCTGTGCCTGCAGTGTTATGCTCAAACAAGAGAGTAACTCACGATCCAGCACTGCCGGGGAGTCTCTTGTGCTGAACACCACGGCTGCCCTCAACAAAGGCGCTGGGTGGCTTGTGATAGACGGAGGCCAGAGTACCAATGTGGCATATGAGCTCCTCCAGCAGTGTGGGTTCAATCAAGTCGGTCTCTTCAGAGATCAGAGGCTTCTCAGCCAGAACCACCTCCTTAGCAGCCACTGGGTCAGTGGAGAGCAGACGCCAGTAGATGTAGCCTCGATCCCTAAGGTCTGGATTATCGGAGTCCTGCAGAAAGATACAATAGGGGGGAAACATTCACATCCATATGTCCATTCAATTAAGAGCAGTCGCTTGAATTACTGGCATGGAACTGGTGTAATCTTACCTGAGTTGCCAGACTGAGGACCTGCTGCACCAGCTCTTGGGTCTCAGTTGGCTTCTTGAGGAATAACTTAACAATGGCTGTTAAAAGCTGCAACTGCACCTGCAGCACACAATGAAAAGAAGCAGAACATGTTCAAATCTCCCCAACAATTACCTGAAATACATTTACTTTGCCCAAGGTTAACTGTTAAGACGGAATCTATCTGCCCAATTTTTTTTTTTTTTTTTACAACTGCCTTTATTCACGCACACGGCATCACAATAACCTCACCCGACTGCTCAGGTTTCTCATAAATGCCAAAACATTTTTGACAGTTAGATTCGACTGTGCGCAATTTAAGCAAACAAACCGAATTTCCCAACCGTGACAGTGAGCCCAGGTTGCATATTGACATTAAAATGGTCATCAGCTTGCATTCTCATGAACCCACCTGAGTGCTTTCATCATGGAAACCCTCCAAAAAGCTCTCAAGTAGTTCATCAGCATTGTCGATACGCTCAGCATACTCCCCCACAATCCAAATCATGGCTGCACGCGCTTCCGGCTCATCCAGCGAGTCCAGGTTTTCACACAAAGTAGCAATCACACTCTCATACCTGCAAATGTCATGAGATGCACTTAAATAGTGACAAATTCATGAGAAAGGAGATGCATTGCGCCTATAAATCCAGTTGGACTGGTTTGTTAATGAATAAACCAGGGATGGACAATTGCTCTCACTCTGAGAGGCCCTTTGTTTATTAAAATCCATAAATAAATTTGGAAAAAAAGACATTTTTGTACTTGGAATTTAACATCAGCAAAATGTGGGGAAACACTGTAGTACACCGTGAGAAGGCCAAATCATTTCTTTGCAAATTTGAAATGACTTGCAGGACAAACATAGTACCTGACCAATATTAAAATTTTGTGTGAGTTGGTTTTTGTGGAAAAATGCACAAAATGAGTTCCTGCACGTCATTTTGGCTCACTGTTCAGCAGTTTGTGCCGGTCTTTGAATGGTAATTCACAGTCTGTGGTTATATTTTAATTGTTCAAGTGCTTTGTTGTTGACAGCTGGATCGTTTAAATACGGCTTCAACATGAAATACATTAGGCTTCTCTCTTGTACATTTGTTCAATAAAGAGACGTATGGACATATTTTATCCATATTTACAATGGCATTTTTGTCAGACAACTGGCTAGGAAGTATAGTCCCCCCACCCCTCCATCATTTAAATTACCAATCCATGGAATAAACCTTTCATATTTAAATCACACGTAACCATTGCCACCTCCCACCCCACAGATGCCATTCCCTTCCTTGGGGCATGGCAAAGATTGTTAAAATGGGCAAAAATGCATGAGAATACTTTTGTTGATAATCAGTAAACAGTACTCAAGTATAGCAGTACATAAGTTATTCAAATAGAAATAACCGTACAGAAATACCACATGTAGATTTGATGATGGAACACAAAAGACCATCACAACGATGCTGTTTTTCAGAGTACAAAGAATATATGGCTGTATGGTTGTCCGCTGATGTCGCTACCGTTTGTTTTCATTCATAAGTGGTGTAAAGGTTTTACACATACCGCAATATTGATGCTGATTTTGTTAGCCCATCTAAGGCATTTCCAGTTATGTGTTAGGATTCAGGTAGCAGACTTGTGTGAGGCAAAATTAGGTGATTTGGTTAAATATTTCATAAAACTCACAAGCGGTTATTCTTAAGTCGAGGTAGACTATACTGTATAGCGTTGTTAGTTACTCCTCAAGTCTTGCCATTGCATGTCACACAAATGTAATTGTATGACAATGTGAAGCGTTGGAGTCGGGCTAGAACAGGCATGACGAACATCTTAATCGTGTGGAAAATGGCCTGCAGTAAATGGTCAACTCGCCTACACATGCACCGAGAGATGAAACGTGACCAGACAGGTACTCTCTGATGTCTCGTGATGACCTTTATCATCTACTGTGCATCGATCGCTTTGTCTTTCTGCAATAAATGGTGTGCAACATCGATTTAATGGGCTGATAGGGGAGGGGGAGTTTTGAACCATTTAACCACAGACATTCGGCCAGATCAAGGCAATCATTGTTCTCCTCCATGTTTCACTTTTTATCTTCTGTTTGTGTACATGCTTGTGGGTGGTGGGTGATTTTTATAACGTGAAGCACTTTGAGTTGCATTGTAATATTTGAAAATAAATACATGATTGATTGATATGCAGTCGCCCCACACCTTGACTTATTCATGCCTTCACAGACACCTTTATTGCCATGCAGAGAATTAAAAATGGTAAAAATTGTAATTCATATAAAACAAGTGCAAGGTCGCTACTTGCCACAGGACTGTAATCGTAAAAAATAAAACCTTAGTAATAATGGATTCTAGTGATTCTGCTACTGACGTGTTACGTGGATTGTCCGTGGAGTGATATAAGTTCTGACGGTCTATGAGGCAGTAAAGGTGTCCGACTGTGATTTGTGATTGGATGAGTGAGTCAGACGGGGTGACTGGATGAAGAAAGAGGAGCTTGCCGGCGTGTCTGTAGGGTGAAGGCTTGACTGAAACACAACCTAGAATGCTTTGTTTTGGGCATAAATACGGCCAACATTCACCATTCATGTTCAAAAGAAAGATGGCTGATCAAGCACTATTCATTCTTATTTCATCACCTAAACAGACGCGACAGTATTTTCTCTGTCTTTACACTGTGACAGAAAGCCATTTGGTAAATACGACGATGGCTGTTTTGAGGATTTTAGTTGTTTGCCAGTTAAACGTTGACAGGTGGCTTTTCAAATGAGCATTCATAGCACTTGTGTTTTGCTGTACACATCTTTTGCAAGACAACATGGTACAAGTCTCATTTTTAGTTCAATATTTGCACATGCCTGAGCTCGATTTCAGTGAGGTGACGGTTATTAATGCCAAAACATGTGATCGGCAATTAATCAACTTCAAACTGAGTCATTGCAGTGTAGTAAAGTCGAAGCGTCGACTTGTCACTAATTGGTTCAAACCCAAGTGTCTACATCACCATCAGTGACTTCAGGCTGGCATTAACGGGGATCATTCAAATTGTGCATTTTGTTGCAGTCGCTTTAGTATGCTGTCTATCGAATAGATGTCGGATTTTTAGCCACATGTGGAAGAGGCCTGATTCTGATATCCAACCAAAGTTATCCAAACTGTGCATAGGGCTGGATTTAACCTGCAGGTGTAAATGCTCAGTTACGATTTAATGACTAGATCTGATTTTATTATTTTTTTTACAGTCTTATTTCCATGCAACACACATGCAATGTTTTTCAATTTATTGCTGACTTTGTTCATGTTGACGGCAGTCAAAAAGTTCTAAAGAAAAAAAGATACACTTTCCACATCCTTTTGGATTGATATTTTGTTATTTCTTTAAAATATATATATATAAGTTTTTATTGAACCAAAAGTAATATCATTTCAGAATCTAGCAAAAATATTGGTATATTAAATTTTAGACATATCGCACAGCCCTAATTGAGAAGGTACAGACAATTTCTCAATGTACGCTACAGCTGCATTATCAGCTATCCAAAACATATTGGATTTTTCTGCACATTGCAAAGAAGCCTGATCCTAATCTGAGGATGTCCAATTCTATGTGCCCCCCCAATCCGGTTCTGCTCTGTGCTGATGCTACAGTGTACAAAAGAGAATTAATAAAAGCACTTTATGCACCCTTAAGGTAAAGAGGAGAAACCTAGACAAAACCCAACTGGGTACTTACTTGTTAGGGTACTTGCGAAAGATATCCTTGATGACCACAATGGCCTCCTGCACAACATAGTTGACCTTTGTCTGGATGAGGTCAAGCAGTGTACTGACACAGCGCTCTGCAGATTGCTAATGACAGAAAATAACATTATTAATCATGACACGGCCATTAACCCGATACAATATGGCCACATGAATAACTGTGTCTATGTGATCCAGTATAAGAACAATACTTATTTTATCAACGTTGTAAAGTGAGAATTTTTAATATATTCAAAATGACACTGAAATATCTTCATTTGTGTGTCTTGCTGAGCCATGTAAATATTATACAAACCTCAGTTTCACTGGCTTTCACTTGGTAGAAATGTACTTGCATTATAAAAGTAAAATATCAATATAAAAGGTATATTTTTGAGCTCATAGGCGTTTTTTTGAGCAAAACTAATTATTACCACGGCTAACTTTTAAACAGTGTGTTGTACTTAAAATAGTACAATCTATTGCATCCATATAACGATCTCACCTCTACTTTAATGGCACAGCGTCCTATGGCCCTGACGGCTTTCCGGACAAAATCTACATCCACCTCGGTGGCGTATTCCTTCAATTCAGCGAGCACCTGCAGCAAGACAGATGAATAATCAGGATACAATTTTATCCACCCACAAGAGGATACGAAAAAGGCTTCAGTATTGTTGGGAGTAAATACCTGGGCGATGTTGGCTTGAGATGCCAAGCGGATCATGATGTCCAGTTTCTCCAGTTTGACATAAATCGGGTCATTGTATTTCACAAAGAAAACCTTCATCTCATGTTTCAAAATCTCTGGTCTGAAAGGTAAACATTTATTATTTTAACCATCTGACAAGCATGTAACAAAACATGTACATAAAAAATTACTAAACCCAACTTGCTTAGTATATGGATGTGACAAAAAGACTGTTGACAGACTTACCGTCTTTGTACGATGAGGTTGATGTTTCGCAATGCTACATATTGCAACTCAGGCTCAGCAGAGAGGAGAGTGACCAGTGGAGGGGCCAGCTTCTTCAGTAGGGTTCCATAGTAGTCCAGGTCTTTGGGTAACATCTCCATGAACTTCATGAGAACTTTTACAGCCGACAACACCACAGCAGAGTTTGCATGGGAGAGCCGTGGGGTGACACGCTCACAGATGCTGGTAAAATAAGGGGATAATGGATGAAAATAAGGTGCGGAGCGTGGAAGTGAGAGGGTGGATGTAGTACAGTCCTCTTACCTTTGGGATTCCCGGTCATCTCGTGGTGTGTAATTGGCCAGGCAGTCCAGAATGAAGATCTGTCCCCACTCTGTACACTCATTAAGAGCTGTTAGTAACTTGTTGATGGTTTGAGGGTTTAGGTCCAGAAGATTGCTGTTGGGATGAGACTCTGCAATCTCCGACAGCGCTGCCACTGCGTTTGCAACCACCTGAACATGGAGCATTGAAGTAGCATCAGTGGTAATACGTAGCCAATGCTAACTAGCATACTGGCCTAATTGAGTTGTACCATGGGGTTTGAGTCAGAGATAAGGTCTTTGAGGGTGTCCAGGAAGCCTTGATCCTCCACAAGCTGTGCATTGATATCATGGAGTTTGGCAACGCACACAGCTGCGGTCTTCCTCACATAGGGGTCTTCGTCTTTTAAACACTTTCTTAGAGGCTCGCACAGGTACTCAGTGATCTTGTCCACGCGGATGCAGCCCATGGTGCGAACGGCCAGTGCTCGAATTAGGGGATTTGGGTCTTCACAGTCCTGGATAGTTTAAAAAAAAAAAAAAAAAAAAAAAAAAAGTATCAAATGTCAATTAATGTTGTTGTGCTTATAACTAATTTTTCCAGATATTTTAAGTAGTACTACAACAAAGAACACTTATATTTCATCATCCATTTATTAAGGACATGAACCAGTCGTATTAAGGAAAAATAGATTAGAAAGACACTTAATGGTCATGTACCTTAACAAAGGTGTTAACAGCCATGATGGCCATGTCTGGCTGACTCTTGGCATAGTTCATCAGATAGAGGTAGACCAGCTTTTTCAGTTCCAAGTTGTCCGTCTGCATGCAGTTCACAACATCTGGAAACAGGGCACTAAAAGGGCAACAACATACTTGTATATAAGCGCAGAATAAACATGGAGGGTAATCATCAACCTGACCGGTCATCAGTGGCTTACCTGACATCCTTGCCAACGGTCATAGATGCAATCACTTTCTTCACTGCCTCTTTCTTTTTCTCTTTTTTATCACTGTTCAACTCAGCCTTGAGCTCAAAAATTTCACCTGCATCAATAAAAATGTCAGGAGATCATTTGAAAGGGCAGTATCATAGAATTAACCTGTACTTAGCAGTTAGACACACTTGCACAACGTAATGAAGCTAAAAAGTGCTTGTGTCAAATTTATACAAAACAATTGCAACACGGGATGTAGTTTACAAAGGTGAACAGCTGGAAAAAGTAAAGTAAATAAAAGAAATTATGTCCACATTGGTTCAGATTTTCATTGGCACAATGACTCAAAGAAGACCAGTATGTGAATATATATTTTTTTAAGAAGGTAACCATTTACATATGACAAACGAACATCAATTACATAAAACCAGACCTTTTTTGGTGGTGGTGAAGTACTTTGAGTCTGTCATCTTGGATCCAAATTGTCGGTTCTCCTAAAATCACAAAAAAATGAAAAAGATGAACCTCTATCTTCCAGGAAGAAAACAGCACAAAAGCAACAGGAAAAATTAGAAGTGCAAGCACTGGGAAATTAAAGGACTTCCTGCCTTCTGGAAAACCACGGATCCAACAAAATGAGAACACAATGGATTGTGCTGCAGAAGGCAAACATTTCCAAGGCCATCAGCAAGTTGTCTAAGAATGTGCTTGTATTTACTGTATTTTCCCACTATTTGTTCAATAAAACGATTGAAAGTACAACGGCTGTTTCGATCATCCCCCTATCCTAACTTCCTGTGAAAGAATTACAATTCATTTTCACTAGTGGTGGCAGGGCTATTGGCCTAACAATGTTAACTTTACCGTAGGCATGCGGTTGTGTAACTGAAGCAAGCTTTCCAATAACCGCACTGCACTTTAGCTTCTTTTATTAAGTGTGAAACGATCCCAAACATTAGACATTCTGTCATTAAAGGGCAAGTCAACTCAAAAATCATCTTTCTTTGTTCTATACTGCCCCATTAGTGTGAACACAGTGTCCTGATTAATATTGTGTTTGTGGAATACAAATTAAGCCGCAAAATCCACCTGTTTTAATATCCATGTGAGGGGGTGGCAATTTTGCCACTTGACGTTGACTGAAAATGACATCACAATTGTTCAGAGTACAGATAACAACCAATCATGGCTCACCTGTTTTCTGACTTTAGTCAAGTGATGTTTCAAAGCTGAGCCACAAAAAGTGAATCAAGATATAGACATAGAATATGCCACGAAGGTGGGTGTGGAGACTCTCTCTCTCTTTTTAATTGGAAATGTCAATATTTCTTAAGTATGGAACTACCAATGTGAGGTACAGTAAACAAATTTAACTGGGCTATGTTGTTTGAACATAGAGAAAAGTCGTCTGTATGCACTACAAAGTCGTTTGAACATGTTGACAAAGTCGTTCGTATGTACTGGTAAAACAGACTAAATGCTAAAACCATAGCATTTTTTTCCTGCCATGTAACTTGGCATTTTGACTTGCACGTGTGCAGTTGTGCACTTTACCAATACATTCGAACTACTGCAGTATATTTGAAAGACATAGCCCAGTCAGCTCAACTTTATAAAGCACTTTCGAACAACCATTGTGGCAAATAAAGTACTGTACACAGAGTAAAAAATAGTCATACAATACAAAAACGGTGACAACCCCCCCCAGCAAACACCACAAAGCACTCAAACAATACAGCCTCATGTTGAGTCAAATGTCATAGAATGAAATACGAGTTTTAAAAATTAAAAAACGTTAAATATTTAAAAAGTGACTCCACATTGGCAGTCCCGCGCTTACGTACATACTCTTATCGTGTCAGTTTAAAAGGAACTGAACTTAAATTCGAAGTAAAATTCTATTTGACATCGTACATAGTTGCTTGCACTAGGCAACTTTTAAGTACAAGTAATGACGCAAGCAGCTGGAAAGTCTTCCCGGGTACTATCTTGTAACACTATCTGTAACAATAAGATGTTTGGGGGGAAAAGACATCCTGACATCTATTATTTAGTAAGCAGTCATCGTCAGGAGAGGCTGTTGGCCTCAAGTTGACCAAATACGATACTGTCGAGCTAGCTACTTTGCCAAGCCTCGACAGATGACAGATAACACATCAAACTGACACCAAACTGCTCGTCCGCGTTTTGTTGATTTTCAAACTAGCGTTACGTGTCATTGACGCGAACTGACCCTCTGTTAAATTCGCCAGAGATGGCACAGAAAGCTTCGCTAGAATCGAGCTAACGCGATAGCATAGCAGGCTAGACGCCTCATAATCCAGCAAGGAGAGACTTTTGGGAGGAAAAAAAAACATTTTAACCGACAAGTTTCTTAAACCCGCGTTCCAGGTTGCTCACGTAGTTACGCTCTCACCGACTACTTACGCAAAGTTGGTTGGCCCATTCTTGCATGCTTACAGTCAAATGAATGATAGTTGCTAAGTGCTAATGTTAGCAGCTGCTGCTACTGGTGTGCGGCTGTCAGTGTCAGGTAGCCACTTCTTCAGCGCGCTCGGCAGAGACATGCCCTTCTAAGCACAGGCTTAAGGAAGCTTTTGCTGGGATAGTTAAGCTCTTAATCTGACGGCCTATTTTAAAACTCACACAGCGAATTAGTGCACACTTTGGAATAAAAAATTACACCGTCGATACAGTAATTTTGGCGAGACATCTTACCGCGAGAGGTGTAGGAAGAGCTGTGTGCTGGTAATAATGATGATGATGATTTTTGCCTTCGTCTCCTCCCACTCGGTACACTTCCGTCTTCTCACAAAAATAACGTTTGTAAACACACATGGGGAGATCGATACAAGTCTGCTCAAGTGGACGGGTGGAGGAATATAAAACAATTTTACAGTAGCACTGTCCAGAAATTGCCTTCAAATGGTTGGACCATTAAACGTAGACATAACCTTGACTGACTCCTAAAGGGTTGAAAGCTGTTAAAATGATTAAGAGACAACACAAAATTATAATTATCAATTGATTTGTAGAGCTAATGTCCATCCATCCATCCATTTTCTGATCTGCTTATCCTCACAAGGGTCACAAATCCCATGTGACTCCCCAGGGAACACTCACCAGACACATAACTATGAGAACTCTGCACTTACAATTGATAACTGAAAACAGCTTTTTGGCATCCAAATCCCTGAAATAAATTTTAGCAAATCATTATGATTATTTACTGTTCAAGCCATCTAGTTTTCACTTCACCCTGCAAAATCTGCACACACGAATAATATAATCCTACTCCTTAAGAACTATAAAGGAAAAAGTAAGGAGCAACAATAAGCCTAAATTTCAGAAGGAAAGTTTTTATTCCAAGAACAACAGCATTTTCACCTTCGAAAGAGAAACCCAGTATAGTATTGCAGATTTTTGTACATCAAAATTTCACAATTAGTGCATTTAATGGATTGACTCAAATGAAAAAAATATCATACAAGAAATTTTGAACATTCAGATTTTGCTGGTTGGGGCAGACAAAAAGATCAACTTTTTTAAGGGTATGAGATTGACAGCCCAGACTAACTACAGTTGTTTTGAATAGGTGATACTTTTCCTAGTTGGTAAACTTTTATGAAGACCAAATGAAAGTATGTTTGATGAATCCAGAGGGAAACTCTCATTTTACAACTTTTAGAACATTAAAAGCATATATTTGTAAAACTTGCCCCTACTAATGGATTGAAACAGTTCGAATAATATTCTGCCTTTGAATTAATCTGAGCTAAAAATCATTATTGATCAATAATAGTTTTTACAGATAAGGCTCTCATTTGGCTTTCCTTCAAGACGTTTCATTTACAGTACCTTGCCCAAGGGTGCCACGCAAGTCCAATGAAACATCACTTTATAAATAAATAAATAAATAAGACCAACATTAAACCCCCCCCCCCCTTCATCCCACTCATAGAGTATGTACACAAATACAGTCCTTTTAAGCCCAGTCAGTGTGTCAATTCCCTGCAATGTCTCCAGAGATGATATTTTTCTGAAAATATTTTGAGACATGAAATAAAAAGTAGTGTGTTGTTTCATAATTTTGTAGCTTTGTCCACAGGGCCCTGACGGAACAATTCTCTCTTTTTTTACTAAATAAAATGATGTTTATAACTACCGGTATATTTCCGGCTACTGTAGCCTATCGATCGATTATTTATGCAGAGACTTGTGTTACAGTCATTTGTTACCAATCAAATGTCATCACACTGCTGAAAGATACTTTGTATCACATGACACCAAGATCGATTATTTGGGAATGGAAATAGGGGTACTGTACGTCTTTCCACAATAAAAGCTGTTACAATGTAAAGATGCTCAATTTGCTCAAATACCGTAGGTTTTATTTTTCCTTGGGTGTTTTCTTAAGTTGTCAAAATAATAGAATTCAGGGACAAGAATTAACATGTAGCTAAACTGGGCAATAACCTTTGTAAATTTCAACATTCTTATTCAATTCCTGCAAATTAATTCACCATTAATAATGGCAATGTAGTGTTATGATTTTCTAACAGAAACATTCAAAACCTAACTTGTGAAAATATTGTAAGGCAAAGGGAACTGTCAAGGCATTTCACCACCCAAAATTGCATAGCTAAGGCAGCCCAGGACTTAGTACAGCCAATATTTACATTATATTCATTGCATTCTTATATACAAAGCCGAGCCCACATGCCTAAGCGGGCACCTACCCATTTATTTACACATTCATTTTCTACTATGCAACAGAAACCTGTACATGTGTGGATTCTTAAGTAGTTTGGTCGGAGGCAACAACTCCACATTTTTGTCAGTGAAAATGACAACAAAGCAATAGAACCTTCATTGACCCACAGACAATTATGAAAAAGTGCCAAAGAAAATCGAACCCATATATATTATGTAGAAACTGAGTCAAAAAAGACTTCCGGTTAGGAGAATTCTAGCAGTTTTTTAACTTGCAAGGCCGTGGCAAACCACAAGAGGGCACCGATTAAATTGACTAAGGTTTTGTGTTTGGAAAAAAATGCAGCTTTAAATCTCTGGCACTTGACCATACCCCTCCATGGGGCACATGGCAGCACATATGCGCTCTCTAACGCTCTGTAAAGTTTCAAGCAAAAACCACCTTATTATTGGCAAAAAGTTCCCCAAGCACACCTTAAAAATAATGACAGTAAAATACATGTTCAACACCATTCCTTTGGTAATAAATGATTTGGCTGGAGTGCAAAATAAAAGCAATGTGACATGCAATAAAACAGTCGATAGCTCAGTCCAAAGTATATGTATTTTTTTACACAGTAGTCAAAAGTAAGGACAACAGCCACTTGGTGTTATTCCCTACAGCTCTGTGCTACATGCAAGCTTCAGTGTCCAGGCTCCCTGACTTTCCAGGGAAGGTGCAATCCTTATTGCCCATGGCAGGAGAACAGGGTTGAGGATGAACCACATCAGTGATGGCCTGGTGTAAGGTGTTGCAAGTAGGACGGCGGGAGCTATGAGGGGAGAGGGGTGTCGTGTGGCAAGGTGAAAGAGTCTCATGAACATGGGCGTCTCTGAAGCTGACCAGTGTGGGGATTCGTGAGGGGTTGTTTAGTGTGGGGATTCGTGAGGGGTTGTTTGACGGGCCGTTGTCAGCGCGAGGCCTCATTCTGGTTGCAAGTTTGTGTTTGGAATTAAGGGCTATGCCGTCCAACTTCTTTTGTTCTTTGTTAGCGTGTAGTCCCTCTCCCCCTGCGTTGCCATTGGCCAGGGGAGAGGTTGACGGGGGAGATTCAGAGTGGGACTCGCTTAGGCTGAAGCACATTGAAGAGTTTTCACTGGAGGAGTCCTGAAAAGAGCAATCCTCGGATAGGGGCAGGGGGACAGGTGAGGGACAGGCCTTTGGAGGAGGGAGGTCATCACTACCATCGCTATTCTCCACATCATCTGGTAAGTTTGGCTGGTGAGTCTCCTGAGGAACATTTCCTTGTGAGTTTTTGTGCCATTCATTATCTTGTTGACACCCATGGTCTCCATTCATATTTTTACAGTGAACAGTTTGAGGCGCAACCTGATTCACCAGCCGGTTCGTGTTTCCAGGACAAGAAACGTGTGTTTTCTGTCCCATGTAGCTCGAGATGGCTGGGAGCTTTTTGAGACCAGTCCCATGCTCCTTCCAGTGTTCGGCCTCCCCTTGGCCAAAGTTGTGTCCGTAAAGTAAGTTCAAGGGGTCCTCTAAGGGAAAGTGACAGGGGTTAGCCCTTTTGGACTCCCCGAGGTCTGGCAGGGCTCTTATCTTTGCACCCACGTTCAGGGAGGAAGAGGAGGAGTTAGAGGACGAATAAGCAGAATCTGTGATATTAGAATCAGTGAGCACAGGTACTGAATGGGTTCTGGAACCATGCTGGCCCATTACTCTACTCGACCCTCCTCTGGCTTGTTGTGTGTTAGCCAAATACTCAGCCTCAAAGCTGCGATACAGGTCCTGCTCTCTCTGCGGGTCCAGGGTTGGCGGCATCTGGAACCCGGGGCCCAGTCCTTCCTCTTCAGGATGCTGATGGCCCAGACCAGACCAGGTTCTACTGAGGCCTCGTCCATTTGGTCGAGTGCTTTGGGATGACCGAGGCAGGTGGGCAGCATGACTGTGAGAATTCCGGGGCAAGGAATGAGGAGACCGCCGTCCTCCCGGAGTGACTGGGGGTAGCAGTCTACCCCTTCCTGCGGAGGGTAAGCGAGGGGGTCTGGGAGTGTTTATTGTCTTCTTACTAGGGCTGTTGTTGTTGTTGGTTTGTACTCCTTTAATGGGTGAGTTGGAGCATGAGGCTGACTGCCTCTTGGACAACACCCCACCTATCCTGGGAGACGATGGGGGCAATTTATTGCGAGAGTCCTCTCGTCTTTCTGCTGCTTGACTGGCGCCAGGCACTGGTATGGCTTCACTGGACCGTGTATGGCCGGGTACCTTACTCTGGCTGTGCGAACGGGGAGCATGTAGCCTTCTGGGACCTTCGTTACCAAGAGATCTGCCCCTTTCCGTCCGTGCACTTCGAACTCCATCAGGTGCTTGAGGTGGGTTAGGTTTCAATGCGGAAGCGAGCACTGAGCGTTCCCGAGACTGGCTGCGCGCACGGGGCAATGAGCTGCGCGGTGTGCTCTGATTTCCAGGCCTCTCAATCACATGCTTGCCCTCCTTACGATTGACAAGTAAGACAACCTCTTCACTAGAGCGGTGTGACGTCCCACTAAGAGAGAGACGTCCTCCTCCTCCTCCTCCTCTGGAGGACGCTGTGGAAGAGTCACTGTCTCCAGAGAGACGTCTGGTCATGGGCAACATTGTCTCCCTGTTCCTGAAACATGAGAAGGGGAGAGGCATTTACATTTCAAAAACACACAATATGTGATAACGATTCATATTTGTTTCATCATTATTTTCCCTGAGTCATCTTTCAAGGAAGCGACACAATCTGCATCACAGCAACTTTTCAAATGACAAATTTCACAAGGTCCCTAATAGAGCACGATTGGTGACAACCTGACTGAAGGGAGAATGTCCAACTGGCCCACGGCTCAGTGTTTCTCCGTACAGTGGGCTGTGACGGCCAGGGGGATTACAGTCAAGATGGGAACAAGTGAGAGGATTAGAACTAAACACACAGTCCTGCTACTTCTCAATTAGGC